ATGTCCCAAGCTTTGAAAGTCACTCATTAGCGAGATAGACCAGCGTTCTCATGCGCAACCCTCTGCGAAAGATTTAAGCGCAGTTTCTCTTTTAATATAACTCCAACAGCTTTACTAAACTTCTGATACTCAATTTTGGTCAAATGAGAGGTCAAAAGAGAAATTTCGTCTTGAATTCTTGCGAAAATTCCACAGAAACCTTCCTTTCAACGTAAAAAAGGCTATAAAACGCAAATTCTCGGTTTCGCTGAGATAAACTAACGATATTATTCCTATATTTGCTTCATTAGCATTCGTTCCGAGATATTCAGGATGATAACATCCGGGGCTTCGCCCCGGATGACTTCTGTTTTTTTCCCGGTGAAGGTTGTGTCCCTTCATCGCCCTCAAAGTGAAGGTTACCAGAGTACGTGGCTCTATGTATCGAGGGTATGCATTGGGTTGTTTCAGACTGCCGCACTGACTGCAGCAGACTGCAGCTGACTGCACTGACTGCAGCAGACTGCAGCTGACTGCAGCTGACCGCACTGACCGCACTGACCACACCGGTCGCAGCCTCTTTTCTTAAAAGAAACAAGCATGCTGATCGAGCCCCACGGGGGTGATCAGCATGCTCGATTACCCCCTGTGCCAAATCCCAGCCCCGTAGCTCAAACTTTGCAAAAAAATCGATAAAATCGATAAAAATAATGCACGATTTTAAAAACTAAGATTGTATTCGTAATCGGCATGCTCGATTACACCCCTCTGCCAACTCCCAGCCCCGTAGCTCAAATTTTGCAAAAAATCGATAAAATCGACATCGATCGATAACGAAAAGTGGACTGTGACACCCGCCGGGGCCCGAAGGGTATGTGTGCCAAGTTTGGTCCGGATCGGTTGAGAAATGGAATTTTCTATTCGGAACATACGGCGGAGCCGGGTAAGCCAGCTAGTTATATATACAAAAAAGCTTATAACCTCCATTTAGAAGAAACGCGTCGCAGATATTGAAGATGTATTTGAAAATATCGTTTTACATTCTATCCATTGGTAATTTCCAAAAATTTTCCGACGCGATGCGTTTTTCTAGATGGGGATTATGGGGCTTTTTTGTACACATAATGGAAGTGTGATCTAGGAATGAAATGACGACCTTGAATGAACAACGTGGTTGAAAAACACTCGAAAGCGTTCGGATGAAGTCGACTTAGATCTACAATGTTTACTGGTGGTTTGCTTAAGCTTGCACACTTCACCATAGAGATTATCTTGACTTTGCTTTTCAAAATGCACTAAAATTTGGCTTTAGAAAAGCTCGTAACTTTTTTAAGAACAATGCATCGCAGATATAGAAGGTATATCTGAGATCAACTTTTTGAGCTCTATCCATTGGTATAGATCTTCTTCCGAATCGCCACTTCGACTAAGTGAACTTCCCTTGTAAGTATCTGCCAGGCACATTCGGACTCGCTATAGATACGAGCTCCTTAGGATGCCAAGACATTGCAAGCCCCGCCCCCCTATCAGTGTCGCTTCAGATGCTGAAAGCGGGTTTCAAAAAAAGTTTTGAAGCGAAGTTCAGCAGTGAAATTACTCCAATCAAAACCAAATGTCGGATTTAGGGATTCTCGAGGTTGCTTTTCAGGAGATTTTTTTGTTGCAAAGTCAGGTTTAGCAACGATAATGTCCAACGAAGCTCAAAATTTGGATATGATGGTTTACGAAATTTCATTCATCAAATTTAACTCGAAGTTCAGGCTTACGGATTCTCGAAATCGTTTTTTGAATAACGATATATGTTACGTGCAATATCAATGGCGATTTGATAAAAAAAACTTTTTTTCCGTAAAAACTGAATTACATCTTTATAATTAATGCCAAATGCAAGAATACGTAGGTAGGTGCCTCGCATTGGTTTTTCCTTCGTTCTAAGAATATGTCAAGGTATAGTACTGATAGTAACCCAGCCAAGTATTTTGTGCCGATATTGTCGGCACCTCCTTTATTCTGTATCACTTCGCTTGTATCTCACTGAATAAGTACCGTAAGGGTCATGCCATAAGCATGACCTGTTGTGATATAAGTCTGTTTACTGCCCAGATGTCTAGTAACTTGTATAGTTACGGCTATTATCGTTAGCATTCTACCACAGCACCCACGAGTGCAGGTCGCCTGTTCATAAAGCTTATTAGCTAATGTGTTCTATATAATACACTCTACCAGGTGCTATTCGCCTCAGGCTACAGTAAAGCCAAGAAACCACCGAAACATATTTTCTTTGAATCTGATGAAATCCATAGGTCACTGAGGTCAATGAGGCTGGCCTAGGCCTAGGAAGCCCGGAATGGCGTCAAACAATAAAAAAACATCTTTATTATTTTGAAAGCAACCATTCGAATATGTGGTACGGGTATTTTTTTTTCAATTGTTCCATTCAAAATTTTCGAGAGTCCGTAAATCTGAATTGCTTGTTTGGAAAAAATCCGAAAAACCAGAATTTTGATCTCGATTGAGCATTATCGTGCTAAATACTACTGAAAAAACAACGTCTAGAATCCCCAAATCCTAAATTTGGTCTTGATTGATGCATTTTCGCTACAGAACTTCCATTTCAAAACTTTCCTTGAAATCTCGGTTTCAGCATCTGAAGCGACACTAAATAAGGGGGGGGGTGCAATGTCTTGGTATCGTGAGACTCATAAGCATAGCGAATCCGAATGTGCCTGACCTGCACATCACGTAGGCGCGAGAATATGGCTCGGGTGAAGAACTTTCCGCACCCAAAGCTTGTGGAAGTCACCGTCACCCACCTTCGTAGACTTTTTTTTTTACAAAAACATAGGTAATGTTTGACATGCGTATACTTGAGCAGACATGCGCACTGTTCCACCTCAAAATATTACTTGATTGACATGCTCAAACGTGTCAGATTGGAAGCTCGCATAATTAAAATGTGGTACAATAACGAAGGGCTTTGCTGACAGCGCAAAAATTTTATCTTTTGGCGAACATCTTGGTCCTCTCTGTTTTAGGAGACCAAAAATCGTCAAGAATCGTCCGTATAGCGCGTCCATTTTCGGATAGTGATTCCATACACATGTGCAATCATTATTCTCTCGTCTTCCATTTAAATCTCAATCTTCAATGTTTTTTTTGCTTTTACGAGAGCAATCCGTAAGTTGAAGATTGAGACTACACAGATTACGAGAGGACAACGACTGCACTTGTGCTTGGAATCACCATATGGAATTGGAGCGCGATATACGTACGACTCTTGTACGATTTTTGGTCCATAAATTTACCATCGATAAGAAGGTACATACAGAACTACTACAGTGCTGGCCGAAACTATAAGTCCATCCTGAAAACTTCCAAAGTCTTTTGTGCAGATACATAATCAAAAGTCAAAACAGTCGCTTTAGTTCAGCTGTGTCATATCTTTATAAAAAACGCTTATCTGCTTTTTTCGCTCAGAAATACTTTCATGCGTATTTTGTTCCTGAGAATGTGTTTTTATGGGTGATTCCGCAGTTTTTTGACTGGTTTGAGAGCGATAGGGCTCATCTATCTTACACATGCCCAGCGAAGTGAGAACTAGAGAAAAAAATTTGAGTTCTCAAATTTAAAGCGCACCCGACATAGACCTAACTGCAGGCCTGCGTCCAAATTTAAGCCCTTAAACTCTTTCTGCAATGTTCTCATGAGCGTGAAGTAGAATAATAACATTGTTGTACGTATGAGAGTCTGGATGCAGCGGTTGCAGATCTCCGCAGGTCCTAGCATGGGCTAAGTGAGGAATTCATCCTGCAAAAACTGAATTGCAAAAAGCCTTGAACTTATTTTTGGTTCTGACTGTAATGCTCATGTGAGTCACAAGGCAACATACAATACAAGGTGTTTTCACTATCTAGCAGCTAAATAGCGGCAAAACAGGAAAGGTGCCACCCACGTGGTAAGTATTTTGGGATTGCCTAAATATTATCATTGAACCGCGAAGATTTATGCTTCGAAAGAAGCAAAATTTGACTTGGCGAACAATCGTAGTATGTGTACAAACTTCTTTTTATGTGAATAATGCTTTACATCGTTTTGAGCTTACAAAATTTACACAAACCAATTTTGAAGGCAAAAATTTGAGCGCAGGCCTGCGGTTAGGTCTATGTCGGCTGCGCTTTAAATATGAAAACTCAGTTTCTTTCTAGTTCTCACTTCGCTAAACATCTATAAAATAGATGGAGCTCTATCGCTCCCAAATCAGTCAAAAAACTGCGGAATTACCCAAAAAACACATTCTCAGGAATACAATACGCATGAAAGTATTTTTGAGCGAAAATAAGCAGACAAACGTTTCTTATGAAGGCATGACACAGCTGGACTGAAGCGACTGTTTTGACTTTTGATTATGTATATGCACAAAAAACTTTGAAGCCGAGAATTACTTTAGTGGACAGAAACCTTAGGTGAAATTATAGTTTTGGCCAACCTTTAAGCCTGCTTTTTTCGAAATTTTTGATTTTTTCCTGAGTAACCTAACAAAAAACGGGACTCTCTCTAGTTACTGGGTAGCCTGTTGAACACACAACTGTACCAAATTTCAGATTAATTCGTTGAAAAGCAGATGAGTTACGGTAGTTTTTAGGGTGGACTTATAGTTTTAGCCAGCACTGTATTATCAATTACATGGCACTGCTATAAAGGGATATGAATCTGTTTGGCTTTGCCATATAGATTTTGTCTCGGCGACGAAATGAAGAGAATTTAGTGCAAGGCGCAGATCGCTGACAAGAAGGGACTTCGTGTTCCTTTGCCAGAAATTAACCTTTGTTTTCTGTTACTTCCCCCATCATCAAATGGAGCTGCTGCCTGCCATTCTAGTCTTCAAAAGTTATCATCATTTTCTTAACACCGCTGAGGGTGTCAATTGAGTTTTTTTTTTTGAGGAGGCAAAAGTCATCCAAATAACTGAAATTCCCCTTCATTGCAAAAATAAGTTTGAATTCATAGTTACTTTTTGAATTCCAGAAAAATCCAAACTCATTTTTTATACCTCTTGTACGTAGAACAACAGAAAACAGAGACCACAGGGATAGTCAAGGCCTAAATAGAACACCGGAATTTTTTGAAAAGGAAAGATCTATGCAAAGACATCTGGTAAGTGTATAGATACAAAGAAAGGCAGAACATTTCTCTACGCCAATCTATCACGTTTTCATCACAGTGGACTTTGCTAATCACGCAAATATCAGATCGTGATGGGCGAAAAGGAACGGAAAAAGACATAAATAACGCTAACTTCCATATGATACTATCATCACAAGGGCAGAAAACACGAGATCATCACAAACGAGAAAAGCTCTTGCACTGAGGGAAATCACAGGTTTTTGTCGCCAGCGGCATTTTTCTTGTCTGCAGAGCCATCCGCGGGTTCATCCTTGACTTCGACTGCATTACCGCGTGATGTGCACAGCCTCTGGTGCTTTTTGAGGTAGATGAGACGACGGAATTTGCTGCCACATTCACAGCTGAAATCGGAATCCGTGGGAGCGTACAATGAAGAAACGACCTGACTTACTGGAAGGCGGTTTCGGAGGTGTGCGTCAGTGTATGCATTTTCAGGTCGTTACGACGCACGAAGGCTTTCTGGCACGTCTCGCATACGTAAGGTCGAACATTTGTGTGCACGGAACGAATGTGGGCGGTCAGTGCCTGAATGGATGCTGTGGAGCATAGACAAGAGAGTTCATTTGATCTTACGTTCGCACTCATTTGATTATATAATATCTGATCCATAACGAAGAGGTCATCCAGATAAGCTGAGCGCATGCGAGACTGGGGCGCAAACCGCGCGCGGGCAAAGTTTTGTACAAGGAGCGCTTGACGCAATACCTAGCCGGTCGTCTTGGGGTCCGAGCATCGCTTTTCTTGTATTCTAGGCCGTATTCTTCTATATTTCCAACTTTTCTCAACGCTTTCACTTGGAGGTAAGTTACTGTTCACAAAATTTGCACGCTATACATCGTCATCTCTTCTTGTGTCCATTCTTTTCTTCCTTCATTTCTTCGCCTGCATTCATTTCTTTGGTCATTTTTCTCCTGGATGTTTCGTTCTCCATGCATGCGCGCTCCATGGTTGACCGTTGCTCGCGCGCGCCGGCCTCGCATGCGCTTAGCTTATTTATGTGACCGCCTTCGTCATGAAAGAGTTTGTATATAAGTTGGCGCAGGATATGGACGTTACCTAATGCCAAGGTGTTTCAAACAACTCATATGGGCTTATTGAGTGAAGGCCAGCCTGCTCATAAAAAGGAGATGCTGGAGATGGGTTACTGCTGATTTGGAAAATGTTTTTCGCGTAGGGAAAGGCACGCTCGTTTTTTAGCAATCTCGAAGAAAGGCATTCATCAGTGCTCTACTTACTCATTCTTAGCTTTTTATCTTTTCGAGATAATAAACAAAATTCCTTTTTTTAAAGTAGGACAACATTATCACGTTGGCTTAGTGGACTGTGACACCCGCCGGGGTCTATTCGGAACATACGGCGGAGCCGGGTAAGCCAGCTAGCTTTTCCAATATGCATTCGAGAACTGTACTTCAGCCTATCAGTATAAGACTGTCATGAACGAATATTGCTGGAAAATATATAAATGCAATATTCATCCACGTTTGAAATAGATAGTTGAAAATTCTTTTTGACATGCTCATCGAAACACCAACTATTCACAGGTTTCCTATGGGCAAGCAACAATGGACGATCGCGTAGAGGAGGGAATTTCCTAAAAATTATCGACTAAGTTATAAATTTATGCAAAAGACTTACTTATACTTCAATAATTAATAACTAGAACCTCTATACATATAAAACTCAAAAATTGTCCGTTTGGAAGATATGTGCGTTATAGAAGCGCGCGCCGCCAACCTATTGAGCTGAAACCACACAGATGTTTTTGACCCCGGAGACGGCTTTAGGCCACTTTTTACCAAAATTCGCTGGGTCATTCTATCGATTTATTGATTTTTGGCACCTCGCAATGAACATGAACACTTATCAGCCGCTATCAAGCCGCTTGCATATTTTGAAACGATGCAGTAAAGTTCAATTTTATATCGATGTGAAGAAGATGCAGTCACTCGAAACAATGTTCTGAGGTAAGCTCATGCAAAAATAAGGGGGCCTTCCAGTACAGTATTGAGACTGCGGAAAAGGGGCACACGACATAGCTGAACCGGACGAAAAAGACAGGAAGGAGGAAAGAAGTCTGGCTTTAGCCTTTATGCTCCTGAGCGATTACCCAGGCTGGGCCGGGAAAGCCAGCTGGTAATTCATAAAATTTAGAAGCATAAATTTTGCCTTGTAAAGATCCTTTTAGTGTTCTAGAATTTTGGGGGACAGAAAAAAAGACTGAGAAATACTCCAAAATTTCTTCCAGTGCCTGGCTGAAGGAACGCACCTTCATTCGGAAAAAATTTTGCTCCCCCCCCCCGGCACTGACACGCAAGGACTTTTTTCGGATGTGGCTGCCGCCATTCAGACAAATCACCGGAACTTCCGAAAGACAAGCCAAATTTGCAGAGGATCCGCAGGATTTTGTTCGCTGTTGCAAAAATGAAAACGTTGAAAATCGGAACTTCCGCGGGAGTTTCATGCCAAACTGGTTGAAAACCGGAACTTCCGCAGAACCTTCTTCAAAATCCTGCGGAAATTCCGAAAAGTGCCAAAGGTTCCGCAGCACTTTCACCTGCCAGAACTTCCGCAGGACTTTGAATGTGTTGTCTCGTGATGTTGCCTCGCCATCAACTAGAGTGCATTATCGAACATGTCGGCCGTAGCTTAAGGCCCCGGGCAGACTTCACGCGATTTGATCGTTGCGACTGAGTCGCGACGAGACAACTGTTACAACATCATTCCATGCCGATCAACTTGCATTCGGTTGTGATACTTTTCCAGACCGAAATTTTTGAACGTGAAATGAAAATGAATGGAAATCTTGGCGATTAGATCGCGACGATCAAGTCGCGTGAAGTCTGACCGGGGCCTAAAGGATAGTAGGTGGGTCTCACAGTCAATAGAGTGAGGTTCAAATCTTGCTTCGGTGTTCTCTTTTGCTGTTGTGGTTGGCATTCTTCGGAACTTCCGCAGGACCTCATTTCGGAACTTCCGCAGCACGTTTACGGAAATTCCGCAGGTGACCCGGCGGAACTTCCGCAAACGCTTTGCGGAAGTTCCGGTGGCAGGTATATGTGGTGAAGATCGTTAAGACTACGAGTCAGCTTTCCATCCAACTAACAGTAAAGGTTGCAAACTAATAGGAACAAATGTGAGCATTGAGGTTGTCCACTATCGCTGATGGGTCCAGGCTAGCGTACAACTTCGTTTACACCAGCAACCAAAGACGAACTTCATGTTCAAATTTGAGAAAATCAGGCTCTTGTTCGGGTTAGCACAAGAAGGTAACAGTCGAACGATGGCAAACAACTCAGAGATTAGTTAGCATCTTTTTGGGCAGAGGAGAGGATTTACGTCGACTAGCGTCGATTTTGTACTGTGATCCTGTTTTACAATTCTACCCAATTCAGCGCAGCACATAGACTTTGTATAACTCACCTTGCTACATTTGTAGCCAGGATGATCACAGCCTTCATACGGGCACATATGAAGGTGATTCTGATGTACCATCTGGACATGACGTCTCAATCCTGAATACAATATTTTTTACGCGAGAATTTATTACGGTTCAAGATGAAAATCAACCTCCTCTTCTGCCAAATTTCTGCCCGCATTCTTCGCATACAAAATTGCGCTCTTTCCTAAGACGAAATCTTGTTTTCGAAAATTCGAATGCCATTATGAAAACTCACAAATGCTGAATCGATATGTGTTCACGTAGCTGAAACGCAGATGCAAAACGTTTTCCACATTCTTCACAGTCAGTCGGAGGCTAAAAGCGAATTCTTTACGAAAACCTTTCGCAAAGACTTGCGATAACGGACCCTTACAGCTGGTTTTTTATGAGTCTTCTTGAAGTGCACGTCCGCAGCATGAGGAGATTTGAATACCTAAAGATTAGAAGTAATTGCACATTAAGAAGAAGTACAGTCTCACAAAGGTAGGATTTTTAGAGATTTGAACAGACCTGTTCAGTTCCTGCGTCCGCTTCGCTATCGGTCCCACCTACCAGGTCAAGGATGCACTCGTTTTTCACATCTGAGCTCTCTCGACTGATCTCGCCCTCATCAGAATCGGCTAGGGCTTTTCTCAAAGCCTCTGCACTACTCGGGCATGAATCACTTTGCGGCTGGCTCGCAATCAAGCGCTCTTTTCGCTTTTTTAACATCGAAATTTTCATTTCCAAATTCTGGCGTTTATGCGCACAGATGCTATCCTTTCGCCAAAGCTGTGACGAAGGCGAAACGTTGCCGGCACGTGAATCGCCTCGGGAAAGCGGTAATAAAGGCATTGAAACGTCTTTTCCGGATGGATATACGTGGCCGAAGTTGGAAAGGATGGCACCATTTGCCGCATGTGCTTCAAGCATCATACGTTGTAGAATCAGAGAAAAGACGCCGTTCTGAGAGGACAATTGTGGGTCCATCCACGGCTTTTCTGAAGAGAATGGCATGGATTTGAGGGAAATGTCAAAATATAAGCTTGCGAGAAAAGTACGAGAAAAAGGAAGCGTTGCAAGACAAGAAGTATAAGAATGGCCTTAACTGCCGGAAAAGTCAGTCGGGCATTTTTTTCTAGGAGATTTACCTGCAGCCGCTCACTAGATGGAAGCAAAGACGAGCGATCACTAGCGAGGCAAAGGCGAAAATGATAAGCAAAAGTGAGTTCATTGTGAGTGCTGACAGGTAAAGCTTTGTCTTACCGGTCATATCTATGTGTAGATGGTGCTAGATCGGTAAACTACACCTCCCCTCTACCTCTTCCACCTTTCCGAGCCAAAATGATATTTTACATTTCAATGATTTTTCTTCTGCCGTATACAGGTTGTTATTGGTAACACTTTATTGTCTTACGTTTCGGCTACACGCCGTCGTCGGAGGCTAAAAGGTATCAGTCACTTTGATTCACAATCTCGGAAAATTGAAAAATCATTGAAGTTAATTACCTCATACAATGCCCAGGTTTCAAGATAAGAGGACATATGAGATGATATATATTTTACAAATATTTCGTAATGATACGTGCACCACGAAGCCCTAGTTTTTTGGATCTCAAAGTCTGACAGACAATTTGGCGCAGCGACACCGAGGTACGGTGGGCTATACGGCACAATCAGCCCAGGAGTTGAATTTTCTGATTTTTCGCTACTTTTTGCTATTACTCCATCAAAATCTGGATCTAACAAGAATTTTTAAGAGCTGATCAGAACATTTCGCGGCGTTCGCTACACTAGACTTGGTTCGATGCAAATCAAGGAATCAATCCTTTTTATCTCAATTTATATTGGTCTATTACGCAGCAATAAAGATAAAAAAGTTTTTTTTCGCGTAAAATTGACTTCATGAAACTCCTACGTAAAGTTCTGGCTACATGACAGAGGTTATTTTGAAAGCGTTACTTTCTTTGTGGTCTTTTCAAAGTATGGTAGCTAGAAAATGTTAGCTTTCAATAAAGTAATAGTAATGAACGAGATTTTACACAGTGTCAAAGAATGTATACAGTTGTAACATGCCTGGAACTGAGGCGCATAGTTTCTTATAATTCTGCACTTGATTTTCAGCATTAATGCTAACCGTTAGAGTCTATCCTTAGATATTCCGAATCTGCATGAATCAGCGTTTGTGGTATATGCAAAAGTTGCGCAAATGCTTACTTTTTGCTATCGTTCTATCGGAATGTGGATCTAGCGAGATTTCTCAAAAGTTGATCAGGTGTAATTTCTCTCTGTAACTCATATTCAGAGTCAAAAATAGATCTTTTTGCTATATTCATACGAAGATATATGGGCAATTCGAATGAGCGAGGAATGTGCGTGACGTTCGGTCAGATGCTCCGATACTGAGCTATGCAGAGCGTTTGATTTTTTCTGACCCTACCGATTTTGAAGCTCTGCCTTTGATCAGCCGCTCAGTTTCTGCATGCACAACTTCAGCGCTTATTAGACATTGAAACATCTTACCGCTATGAATAATTATGATACGGAAGTTTATTTACATCACAGAACATTTAGCTCATTTAGTTTGCAATCGCGCAGCTTGTAACTAGATTCTGGTCTGATTGTGAAGATTTTTTCGATGCTATCGAATAAATTCTTTCGTTTTTAAGATATGGTGCAAGGCAAAGTTAAGCGGGTATCGATAGTGGTGTTTCCAGGAAAATTAAACGGGGAGGGTGGTGGGGGAATTTAGTGAAGTCTAAGATAACCATGTCGATCAAAATTCAATGAGCCACAATGTTTTTCCACTTTTTTAGGGTTTTCAACAAAAATTCTTTACAAAGCTAATCTCCTTGAACCCGTAAAGAATTGTCTACAGGGGAAAACAGATCATTGCATAATCTAATAACTAGTAGTCTACTTCTGACAACTCGCTCACTTCTTGGTCTGCCACTGGTGTTAGGAGTTCCAAAATTTTCGAAATGATATCATGGACATTCATAATAAGCGAAACTAAGAATATCCGCGAAGAGTATAGAGAGATACTATATTGCAATAATAGATCTTCATCTTTTCAAGGTCTCAAAAGGACGACGGAATCTTGATTTTGCGTCATTGAGAATTTGATACATCTCGCACATGACTATGTTCTTAACTGTGATCTACTAGTAATTCACTTGAAAATCGTAAGGGTTTTGTTTTTGCCGCTCTGCACCATCCTTATAGTTTGAATTATAACGGCTGTTATCCACATCTGGCTTGAACTCTCACATTATTTGAGACTTATCACAAGTCTGTCCACGTGGTCGCTTTAAAACTACTCAAAATAATATTTCAGAAGGAAACCTGAATCCGGAGGATATATGCGACTTCCTTGAGACAAAAGAAGTGAACTAAAACAAATTTCTCAAACTGAATTTCTTGACCGATGCGAGTAGTTGTAGATGTTTGGGATCTCGATTTTCAACAAAACTTTTACTTATTTTCAAACGAAAAAAATGTAAGATCGGTTTTGTCTAACATCAATGTAAGCTTTGGGTGGCTGGATGAAATCGTTTGTGGATTTATGTGCATGTGCAGCTATTGCGAGGGAAGAGAATATAAAAATGACGTAATTTTCCACGAAAGATTGTTCGTAAAAAAGGAACAATGGAATAGAAATGAGTTCGCGTCGGACCACCAGAGCCTGAGCAAAACATGGAGAAATTTTTCGAGCAATGTATCTTCTCGCTAAGGACCTTGACTGACAAGAGCTTATAAAGGCTCAAAAGCAAAATGCGAAGGGTGGAAAATAGAGAACAGACTTTTTGTGTGATACAACTGACCGGCATACGAATATGGGCGGAAGGAAGTTCGTGAAAGAGCTGCGGAGAAATGTGGTATTTGTAAGCTAATGTGGGAATGTGCCATTGTAATATGATATAAGATGTTGCTCAGGATGCCAGGGGTGGAATGGCAACAATAAGGCTAAAAATTTGTGATTTGATTATGTGATATGGAAGGAACAGTAACAAAGCAGCTTAGGTGTCTGTCCTCGCCTATGAAACAGACCGAGGCAGAAAGTATTGCCTTATGAACGAAGCAGTTTCAAAAGAATGAATATATGTGCAGAGAGGACAATTAGGAAAGTTTTTCGATGATCGCTAGAATAAGCGCAGTATTTTTACCCAATATAAGCAGTTTTGAATCAGAGCTGGCAAAGAAGACACGTAAACTGCTAACTCTTCGAATAAATTTCATCAAAAACTTGAGACAACTGACATATGTTCTCTACAAAAACTACAAGCTACAATTAGTTGCTTTTTCGAGCCCATCTGAATATCACTTTGGACCGTCCCTATTCCCTCACCCCCTCCTCCCTCTTTCCCGTACTCTGGTGTACGTTGGCTACCAATGTACAAAGTGTCCTTCACATTCCCCCCCCCCCTCCCGCCCCCTCCCTCACACTGCCCTGCTTTTGGAAAGAACCACAAAAATATGAACCGGTCTATCAAATAAAAATAAAGTGTGCAAGTAACCCATTTGATCTGTCCAGACGGCTGAGACACCCCCTCTGATTTTAAGACGTTAAGGTGTTTAAGAACCCTCAAATTTTCCCCAAGCCTGGGTTAGGCTCGACCCCTACACCTAAAAACAGTTCATGCTTAGCAACCCCCCTCTTCTCTTCTCACTCTCATTCCCCAACAAAATTTTTTGCAAACGCGCTTTCTGTGATATCTCGTTTTCATAACATCCATATGTGATTTGAAAAAAAAGGGATAGACTTTCGTAGGACCATTTTCACATGGAAGTGGTACCCTCGAATATTTCCTTCGAAAAAAGCTACGCGACCGCCACTGGCCTATAGCATTGAACGGAAAGACAATATATCCATCCATTCACTGAGGTCAGCATAGCACTTTGCAGTCCATGTCATTAGTAATTCTACCTCATCCTAACAGACAGAAGTCAGACAGAAGGGCAGAGGCTACACAGCAAAATCTACATCAAAAAATTGGTTTTAATACAAGCTGATCAATGATAGGATCTACAATGACAAAAGCTTGTGTGTTCCAAGACTGTGCTAGAGAACGTTTTTTAAATTAAAAAAAAGTCAGGCATGATGGGGGTACTGGAGGTGGGAGCGTCATAAGTTTGGAAAAAAGTGTTGCTCTGGAAATTTCTTGGCAAAATGAATTTCTCATTCTCTTCCACTTGGGCGCAGTCTCGCTCAACACACGCTAGCCCGCGCGCGATTCATTAGAGCTTAATGAATCACGACGGCAAGTTTATGGTCGTGAAGTGCTCGGGGTGGATCGACAACAATGCGTCGAGAGTACGTCCCAGAAGGTGAAGATTCGGCATGCTTGACGGAATCAACGAGGAAACAGCTGCTCTCTAATACAATCAGCTTTCTTCACCTTCGCTGCCAAATGCGGCATGCTTCCCCCTCGCTCGGTGAATGCGTGTTGTTTT